ATGTGTTTGAAAAGGCCCCAGTGCGGCCGGCAACCCATGAAATTTTCGCACAAAGACACGAAAGCGGCGAGGTAGGCAATGGAGTTGGGCGTGAAGTGGTGGAGTTGCGCACCAAAGAAGTTCAAAAAAACCCGGAAGAAAAGATTCGGTGGCAGAGAAAAACCGCGATCTACATGGGTGGCTAAGAGGACGCACTCACCCTCCTGAGGCTGCGGCTGCCACTCCTTCCCCGGAAGCCTCGCTGACCCATGGGGGATCAGTCTCTCGTTGGCCAGGTCGTCGAGATCCTTCTGCGTGATGGTCGAGCGGATCCAGTCTCCCTGGATCCAGCCTTGCGGCAGGCCGGACCGCGATGAGGATCCGCCCCGACTGGGCGCTCTTCCCTTCGCCTTCACCGTCGCCTTCTTCGCTCGCTCCAAAGACGCCGTCTTTTCCTTCACCATCGTCACCGGTGAGGCGCGCGAGGAGCAGCGAGGCGGAGGTGGAGGCGAGCGCGGCGAGCGAGCTCGAGGAAGAGGGAGAGGGGATTGAGGGCGCACCGTTTGAAAACTCCCCGTCCGGCGCCTTATATGAAGTCTCATCCGAGTGGCTGACTGGTAGGCCCGGGCGATCCTGTCAAATCCCGCAACAGTCGCGTGCGCGATACGTGCCGAAAAAGGTGACGCGGAAATCGATGCGTCCCTGCCTTATCCCATCCGAGTACTGCGGCTTCCTCCACCCCGCGCACTTCCCGAAATTCAGATCCCGCTAAATCCGCGAACAACAGAGCAACTTGTCAGACTGAAGATTTCCCCTGATCTGGTGCTCGGAGATCTCCAAGTATAGAAAAGTCACTCGACCGATATTAAGAATGGATCAAGGCGACTGAAAAAGAAGTTGGTGCCGCCACCTACGGTCATTTGATTCGGAACGAGACATACTCATAGCATAAAAAGAGGGGTCGGAAGAATTATCAACTCCTTCCTCACTCAAACCTCGATCTATTCGGGGGCTAATGATGAAGCCATGTACCTAGGGTAGGGTCATGGACCTGTCCAAAATACCCTCCCCAAGGACATCTCTTGAAGAAACTACCTTTCAGTCGACCTGGAAGGATTCCACTCGACGGACTCGAAGACAGTCGACCATGAAGACTCACTCGACCACCAGAAGATCTAAGATCACTCTACATCCAAACGGTCCGTTATTAAGTAGTCTTTATTGCCATGATATCACTTTATGTAAGGCGTTACCAGTAACGCCTAGCCTTTATGTACACTAGAAGAACGCCCGTGCGTTGCAACGGGGCCACATTAACTTTAAGAGTTCAATATTACGACATTGGCGACCTTTTTTATCATTAAATCCTCTCACACACACAGACACACACTCTCCCTCCGTCTTCCTCACTCTCTATCCCCCTCTCCCTCTCTCTCTAACACACACATATCCATCTTATTGGGTACGGGACCATAATCCATCTATTTCACACATACACGCTAGTGCATAACAATATGGATTATGTGTATTATATTTGCCACCAGAACTGAGGAAATTAATTTCATGTAAATCGACCAGCCACAGCTTCAAGAATACGCGGACGAGGTGGCTCGGGTCGGCGTTGGCGCCGTCCAGCGCGGGCCACGGGCCCGCTTCCAAGTGCACGTGCAATGCATGTCTTCACAAATATTATAACCCGATGTGAGAAATCACATGCATAGAAAAGACATTCTGATAGCAATCCAAATACCATACTCAATTGAATACCTAACCTGGACAATACTCTTATTTCTATGCGCCAAAAAAAATGGAATAGCAAAGCTAAGTATGCCTACATACGCTCAGATTATATATAAGAATCTTGCGTGAACAATTGCAACAAAGCACTAAGCAGCGATAAATTTAAATAAAAAATCCATTAACTATGCATGCAACAGGCTTGTTACAACATAGAGAGATAGGAAAATGTCATCTCCAGTAATGTAGCGCAAAGGAGTGGAACGAAGCATGAATGAGCGGTTGTCTGTTTTTCTCCATGTACATGGATCAGCAGTAGAGGCCAAGTATATAAGTACTTGACCGAACTCCACACTCCACTCTTCGTGTACGGAGAGCCATGTCACCTTCTCGCCGCTGCAGCATGGGAGGACGGCTGGTTCACGTGACCCTCCAGCTGGGGGATCCATGGTGGCTGACCGTCGAGCTCGAGGCAGAGAAGTTGAGGGCAGTAGTGGCGAGATCCATGCCGGCCAACCGGGCGAAGAGGAGGTCGTCGGGGAGGGACACATCGGCAAGATCCGGTCACCACGCGACCTGAAGAGCAACAGTGATCTCCACAAGCTGTAGGCCGACGGCGTGCTCCATCCCCTGCGATGGGGTGACCATGGCGGTGGCCACAACTCCTCATGCTCGCCTCGATCTTGGCGACACACCCTGAGTGTAGGAGGCAGCAACGACCTCGACGAAATCATGGCCTCCATCCCGGAACGCAATCATGTCGCTCTAAATAAATGGATTCAATCATGTGACTCTAATTACTTCGGATTGTTATGTGCACACTAAGCGGGGTGCAGTTAGGAAAGAAAATGTTCTCTAATTAAAGTGATTGAGTGATTTAAGGTAAGGTTAATTAATTTAGATTTGATTTTTAGTGATTGTTAGTAAAGTATGATGCGTCTTTAAAATCTTTTATTTGTTTCCTTAAAATATATTATTTGTTTCCTAAAGAAATTTGCAATAATGGAAGATATCGGTTGATTTGAATAAGTTAGTAAATTTAAATCCGTGATTGCGTGCACGTTTGGAAAGTGCTGATCTCCACAAGCTGTAGGCCGACGGCGTGCTCAATCCCCTGCGATGAGGTGACCATGGCGGTGGCCACAGCTCCTCATGCTCGCCTCGATCTCGGCGACACACCCTGAGTGTAGGAGGCAGCAACGACCTCGACAAAATCATGGCCTCCATCCCGGAACGCAATCATGTCGCTCTAAATAAATGGATTCAATCATGTGACTCTAATTACTTCGGATTGTTATGTGCACACTAAGCGAGGTGCAGTTAGGAAAGAAAATGTTTTCTAATTAAAGTGATTGAGTGATTTAAGGTAAGGTTAATTAATTTAGATTTGATTTTTAGTGATTATTAGTAAAGTATGATGTGTCTTTAAAATCTTTTATTTGTTTCCTTAAAATCTATTATTTGTTTCCTAAAGAAATTTGCAATAATGGAAGGTATCGGTTGATTTGGATAAGTTAGTAAATTTAGATCCGTGATTGCGTGTACGTTTGGAAAGTCCTGATTTGCAAGGAAAGAGCTGAGGGGTAAATAAACCGGTGAATAAGAAACCATCATCGAAAAAAATCTACGACGGTTAACCTACGGAAAAAAACCGGACGAAAATGGTGGGACGAAAAAAACCTGGAAGCGAGACTACCAACTGCTCCATTAGGAGTAGAGATTGAACTCTCTGCTACGTGGGCTGGCTGGGGTCCTGGCGCACTCTATATAAGCCACCCCCTCCACAGGCAGAAGGGTTCGCACCTCTGTAACTCTCACACATATAATTCAGTCGACCGCCTCCGGGCACCGAGACGTAGGGCTGTTACTTCCTCCGAGAAGGGCCTGAACTCGTTAAACCCTCGTGTGTACAACTACTCCATAGCTAGAATCTTGCATCTCCTTAGTACCCCCTACATTACTGTCAGACTTAGAACCACGACACCTGCCGATCCACAAGCGCTCATATACACGCGCATACACTAATCCCTATGAACGCACACACGCACACCCTACCCCTATGAGCGCCTCCGAAAGACTGAGCCGACATATCATCAAAATCCTGAAGTAAATCCAGAAATAAATGCAAGCAACAGGATTTGAACCCTGATAAGTTGGGGATACCATAGTCCCTCTAAGGCTCTAACCATCTAACCAAAGGTTGTTTCGCTCGCTTGACCTATTCAAAGGGACAAATAGCGGACAAAACAAACACGGGTCCATTTGGATCGTTGGAGTGGATCGTTGGAGTTGCTGTCGGTGTCTCACCCAATGTTTACTTGCCCTCGCCGGCCGGGTACTGCGACCTCCATTGAAGATGACAGCCGTATGCGTTAGTGGGAGGGGTAGGGCTACATTAATTCTGGTCGGTCTTAGTTAATCAATCCACAGGATGAAAACTACTTTATCTTTTTTAGTTTTTATACACCCAGGTCAGGTCAGCACGCTTCACTCTCACCGAATGGCCTGACTCGCTCGGTCGCTCCATTTTGTTCGTTTGCTCTCCGTGCTCCCCGTCGATGGTGAGCGCCGGCGGACGTTGCGCTCGAGCGCCACCGCCACCGCCCTGCGGGGCGCGGGGACCGGGGAGTTTCCGCCGCTGATGTAGCTCCCGTCCCACCCTGTATTCCCTCTTGGGTGGATAGATTCCCTCTCTCACTAAATACTCTGCATCTGTTTCCATGAAGTAATGCTCGCTCTTTGTTTTGGTTTTGGCGACAGCGCGCGACATGGAGCTGAGCCCAGTCAGTTCGTCGCTGGGCACCATGGGCTCGCTCCCACGGAAGCTCGACGAGCTCCTGGCGACCGGCCACTGGGCTCTGCGAGGGGCCGTGGTCATGGATGGGATCAAGCACCTGGCCGCCGACCTCCACGAGCTGCAGAGCCTCCTGCTGAACCTCTCGAACGCGCAGGACCCTCCCGTGGCGGCGGGGTGCTGGACGAAGGAGGTGCGCGAGCTGTCCTACGACGTGGAGTACTGCGCTGACCGATTCGTCCACGCCGCCGAGACACGCAGGCGACCTGCTCGGCGTAAAGCCAGCGTCGCTCGGCTGAAGATTAGCCGCCTTCCGAGGAGGCGGAGGTGGCTCCCGTGGATCAACGGCAGGGTCCTGGAGTTCAGGGCCCGAGCGCAGGAGGCCAGCGAGAGGTACTGGAGGTACCAGTTCGATGATTGCGCCTCCGGTCCTGAATACTCTCCTGCTGCTGGCCGTGCTGTGCGCGCGGAGCCTGGTGATCATGTAGGCATGGAAGGCCCTGTAGGTGAGCTCCACCGGCGGCTGACTGATGGAGAGGAGCAGCTCAAGGTGGTAGCAATCGTCGGTGTTGCAGGCATTGGTAAAACCACGCTTGCCCTGAAATTGTTGGGTAAGCTCCAGGGACAGTTCGAGTGCGCCGCCTTTGTGCGGACAGCACAAAAGCCCAATATGAGGGGGATCATCAGCAGTATACTCTCACAAGTTCGTCCGCACCAACTGCCGGACCCTGCCGACATGCACCACCTCATCCGCGATCTCAGTGAACATCTACAAGATAAGAGGTCAGAGTCCATATATCTGCTTCATTTAGTGGCAGATTCACTTCACCTATTCAGGAATTTACAATATGAGAAACATTGTACAATTAAATTGCACTTTTAGTGTCGCGACGTTCGTGGAATTACTTCTTCAGAATGTAAATCCATAGAGAAAAATTTATTTTGAATATTCCAATTCACTACACCCACTTTGATAATGTGAGAGAGGCTTTAGGCTTACAGCTGCTGCAAGGGCTTAGAATAAGCTTTTCTTTTCGACAAAGGGTGAATTTTATTGGCTTAAAATGGAAGATGCATAACTCAGTGAGCACACATCTGGCCTCTACATAGCTAAGCTCTGCTTCCCTTGTTATGTCAGAAGCAAAACCAGTGAATACCTGGTTCATAACTTTGCTTTCTTTCCAAGTTGAGCCCTGTTTGTTTGGACTTCAGCTTAACTTGTCCTCCTAGAGCTAATCATGGGCAATCGTACCATATACTTCTTAATGGGTGCCATAAAAATTGTGGTTCATGAAAAGTTGTTCTATCAAGCAAGTTTGCTGTCATCATATTGAAATTGCGGTGGTTGTGTATTCTCTACTGTAACATCCTGAATTCCTTTGTATCCCAAAGAAACTAATGATCCAATAAACTTAAATTCCATTTTATATTTTCTTTTCATTTTGGCTGACAAATCATTTTTATTATGCATAAATTATTTGCCAGGTACTTCATTGTAATTGATGACTTGTGGGCTACATCAGTGTGGGATGTTCTTAGTCGTGCTTTTCCAGAGGGTAGTTCATGCAGTAGAATAGTAACTACAACTGAAATTATAGAAGTAGCTCGGGCATGCTGTGGTTATCTCCCTGACCATATTTTTCAGATGGAATTTCTTAGTGAGGATGACTCACAAAAACTATTGCTCCAAACAATTCTCTCAGAAAATCAAAGTCCTCAACATTTCGATCACGTTTTACCTCATATTTTGAGAAAATGTGGTGGGTTGCCACTAGCAATCATTATGGTAGCCAGCCTTTTAGCAAGCCGACCTGAGAAACTAGATCAACTGGGCTTTGTGCAGAGTTCTCTTGGTTCAAATATGCGGTTGCAGGCACATCCTGCCATGGAAAGGTTTATGGAACAATTATTGAACATTAGGTTCGATTGTCTTCCACATTATTTGAAGACTTGCCTGCTTTATCTTAGTACTTGTCCAGAGGGCTACATATTCTTGAAGGATGATTTGGTGAAGCAATGGCTAGCTGAGGATTTTATATGTGCACAATTAGGGAAAGACATGGAGGAAGTTGCTAGAAGCTATTTTGATGAGCTTGTCAGTATGGGCCTGATCCAAGTTATGGATATCAACTACAGTTATGAGCTATTGTCTTATTCAGTCCACCATATGGTTCTTGATTTTATCACATGCAAGTCTATTGAAGAGAACTTCATCACTGTAGTGGATTATTCTCAAACAGCAATGCTACTTCCTGATAAAGTTCGCCGATTGTCGCTCCAGTTTGGCAGTGCAACATATGCAACTACACCAGCAAGTACCAGATTATCACAAGTTCGATCACTCTTCTTTTTTGGACTGTTTAACTGCATGCCTTCATTAATGGTGTTTAAGTTTCTTCGAGTTCTAAACCTTCGTCTTGGGGGCGATCTTGGAAATATGAGTTTGGACCTTACAAGAATTAGTGAACTGTTTCGACTGAGATATTTGCAGGTCACATGTAGTGCCATTGTGAAGTTACCAGATCAGATTGAAGCTATGAAACATTTGGAAACACTGGAAATAAATTCAAGAGTATGCGCCATTCCTCCGGACATTGTTCGCCTTCCGAGCTTGTTGCATCTCTGTCTTCGAGGTGGAACAAATCTACCTGACAGGATTGGCCATATAAGATCTCTACGTACACTAAAGTATTTTGACCTTGGTGATAACTCCGAAGACAATTTATGGAGCCTTGGCGAGCTGACAAACCTGCGGGATCTACATTTCACATATTCTAGATTACCATCTAGTGAACATTTGAAGAGAAATCTGATAGCTCTGGCCTCTTCACTTGAGAAACTTTGTAACCTCAAATCTGTCACTCTGGCTCCTGGTGCTGCAGGCATGGTTGTTCTCTTTGATGGCTCGAGCGGCATGTCCTCTCCTCCAGTCTTCCTTGAGAGGCTTGAGCTGTTGCCGCCCATATGCATCTTTTCCAGATTTCCCAAGTGGATTGGACAACTCCGCAAAATCTGCATTTTGAAAGTTGCTGTTAAAGAACTGCTGACGAATGATATTGATATCCTCACAGGATTACCCTCCCTCACAGTCCTCTCGTTGTGGGTCCAGACTGCCCCTGAGGGAGAAATCATCTTCAACGAAGGGGCGCTCCCAGTTCTCAAGTATTTCGAGTTTAGGTGTGACGTACTTTGTCTGGCTTTCATGGCAGGAGCAATGCCCAATCTTCGGAGGATCAAGCTAGCTTTCAATACTGATATCAGGGAGAAGTACAGCAATATGCTTGCCGGAATCGAGCACCTTTTAAACCTCCAGGACGTCACTGGACAAATTGGGGTAGTTACTGAATCTGACAGAAGGGCTGCTGAATCAGCATTCAAGGAAGCCATTAGCAAGCATCCAATGTCCTCTAGATCTAGCATACAATGGGTGGATCCAGTTGAGAAAGTATTCCGTCCTTCAGAGAAACAGTATTTGAGGCGAGGAAGAGGTTCATCAGATGAAACGCATGGGGGTCTAGAGAAAGCCGAAGATGCGATCAAACATGCTAAGAGAGGGTATGAATCTTCCTGACTCTAGCAGCAATTCTTCGCAACCTGGCCCTTTTCATTCATTTCTGCTCCTCCGGTGTTACCATTATCTTTCAAACAAAGAGATTAGCATCCGAAAATCTGAGTGCTATAGCAAGTATTTATTGGCCATTTTCCTGCACTGTAATCAATTGCAAATAAAGTCGCGCCAAATCATAGCTTAACACAATATATTACTCCCTCCGATTCATATTAGTTGTCGCTGATTTAGTAGTACTAAATCAGCAACAATTAATATGGATCGAAGGGAATCAAGTTTCTCTTCTCTCGTACTGCTCTAACAATAAATAAATTTGCTATCATCAGTAAAACTTCTTCCGCTGGGCTGGATCTGGACCACGATGTCAAGGCCTACAGAACCTCTTGTTCAAGCGCTTTTTTCCCTCAAAAGCGCGTCAGAACACGCTTCTTTTGCATTAGAAGAAAGGCCACCAAAATGTGGCAAAGCTACACAACCACCAAGGGTGGCACTGACCGAACTGAAAACAAGAAAGAGCAGCAAAAACTACAGACCCCGCTAAATTATGTACAAAGGAAAAACCAACAGCAAAGCTCTCATTCAAGTGCTTCAGTTGGGAATAAGACAGAGGACGCAAAATTGTTCAGTACCACTTCTTCATCATCAAATTTGCAAAGCATTGAAGTTAGTCATCAGGTAGCTACTGAACGTGAAGAGCAGATGTTGCCGGACTCCATGGAACAGGAGTGTCTGGATAGCAGCCAGTCTGGGGAGCAAATTGCTGCTGAGACTGGTGTGCACTCTCAGGTCTCTTCTCCCTCATCGTGTTCTCTCTCATCAGCAAGGTACCTCTATGGCTTAACGCCACTTAAAATTTCCCATCATTGTATGAATCTTTTTCCTGAAGAACTGTCATAAAAAAATGATCCTTTCCTTTCAGGCACCACGAAGAAGAGCATGCTTCTGGGCTCAACTTACCTGGAGAAGTCACGGTGATGAGCTCAAACATCATCTTGAAGCAGGTATATAAAATTTGGTTTGGCCTATCTGGCACATATGTGATCTAATGTCCTGATGAAGATAGTTCCTTCCACAGGATATTCTTGCTAAGGTTAAAGAACATGAAGAACAAATTGCTCGTTTAAGAATGCACCTTGTTGACTATTCAGTGAAGGTGGTTATGCATTCAAAGAATCGTTACCTTTTTTCCTTTCCCTTCCTCTGTTTTTGGTATATGATCTGATACCCTACGTTTCTTGATAGGAATCCCACATACTTAATGAGAAACTTGTTTTGGAAAAACGTATTGCACATATGCGAAGGGCAAGTATCTTTATCCTATCAGGTTAAATTACTATCTTGGTGTACACCAGACTATTCTATAACACACTTTTTTTCAGGAATTTGATCAGCACCAACAAGATTCCCTTGATGCCGCATCAAAAGCTTTGTCTTACAGACAAGACATTATTGAGGAAAATCTCCATCTGGCATACTCACTACAGGTAACTTTCTTCATTGTTATACTTTCTGTTAAAATTCAGATAGCTAACTAACATTTTCGATGGTGAACTGATGTGATTGATTTAATCTTTGTACACTTGGAGCTATTTGAGTGAATTTTGTTTGGAATAGAACTCTAGTTCTTATGTGAACTGAAATATTTATGGGACTGAATTTCCTTTCTGCTCCACAAAGCATCCAAACAAGTGTAGCTGACTACCTATGGCCTCTGTATAAACAAAGTAATATTGGAACCTGTCGGGGGAACCACACCGGAGATAGGAGAAGTTGCCAATTCAAAAGAATTAGGTGCTTTAATACCATCATATAACAATATTGATTCATAAGCCAAAAGCCCCTATAGGAGCTTTTTTGGCTTTTAAGCCAAAGTGAAAAGGCTGCAAAAGCAGAAGCATAAGCCAAACAAACAAGACCTTAGTTGTTTCCTCTAGAAGCTTATTGTATATGGTTCAATGTGTTTCCTTATCTTCTTGCGCTGTTTTTTTATCTAGTTTCATGATGTAATACTGAATTTAACCTTTGGTACTACATAGGCAGCACGCCGAAGGAGATCAAATTTTGTACTTTCTTTGATGCCTCTTCTGTCAGCACATAACCTGCGGCCTTCTGTTCCCGATGCTCAATCAATTGTTAGCAATCTAAAGGTATGTACAGCCTCTTTTTTTTTACGGTAGGTAGCCTCTGTTCTGCTTTTTCACTAAGTGAAAAACAAATTAGTGGAAAACAAATACGAGGCAAGGCCAAACAAACAAAACATAGAAGAATAGGAAAAGTCTGAATATGCAAAAGAGCAATTTGGCTGTACATGAAGCATGTTGAAATACATTGCCGCCTCTCTCCTTTAGTTTGGACTCATGAATGAACTCTTTGGAACATGAATTCAGTGTGATATCAGAGCCAAGAGGTCTCAAATTCAAGACCCGGTCTACACCATTAAATAAAAATAGTTGCAGCCTACATTGATCCAACATCTAAGGCCTGGAGCAGCCTAGACGTGAGGGGTTGCGTTGAAATATTGAATTCATGCTCTAGTCAATTCATTCAAAAGTCCAAACTGAAGAGAGCCGGACAATATATTTCAATATTTTAGTTAGTAGTGCGTTGGCCGGGTCTTGAACTTGAGGCATCTTGGCTCTGATTTCACATTAGAGGAGCAACTTATCTATATTGCATAGCCCAAGGAGCAAATATATATTACAAGAGACTTGGAGTGCAAGCAAGGAAATCTAGACTAATATGACTACGTATGGAGATCTAGACCAATACTAATACCACTAATACTCCTTAACGAAGCACTCCTGGCTGCCTCCAAAATGAGGCTGAAATCATCACAGGCAAGCTCAGAATCATTGTTGCCCATTGCATTTTCCCCCTCAAAGACTCATCTGTATCTTTCTTTTTGAAAACTGCCAAGCTTTACAAGCAGCAGCCGAGATCTCGTTTATTTTTGTCATTCTTCTTCCCAAGGCACACTCTGCTCCACCATTTTGGGCACTGAGAATTAGAGGCAGCATCCGAGATTCTCGGCTGCCAGACATTTCCCTTGAACCACAACACTTTGGAGAAGGACCAGGGAAGGGTAAGGTTGGCAGCCGATTCCATATGTACAACTTTTCATGCTTGTTTGGACTAAGCTACAAGTTTTTACCAAATAATCTTTTACAATGTGGACTAGGAAATCTCTTGTGATATTTGAGTTTTACTAAGGAGATAAACTACCTTCTCGACGGGGATTCTATGTGATGTGATGGGGCTTTTTGGATATCACATTTAAGTGATTTAGCAGAAAACAAACACCTATGATTGTAGTATGGAGGTTTATGACTTGGCTTAGAGCTGCTTCAACCAGACCGCTTTTCCTTTATGTTTTCCTTTGTTTATTGTCGTACAATAATATTTATGTATTTTTGGTCATTCTATCATTTTATTGGAATATCATTGGAAAGAAACATAAGTAGCTTAACTTACGAAAACAATTTCTATAGCTCCTTTTGTTCCTTGCTTCGTTGAAGCTGAGCCTATATTGTATAATTCTATATTGAGACTACATTTTTTTGTAGGTTTTGTTTACGCATTTGCAAGAGAAACTCGCTATTACTGAGGTGAGTCACATTGAACTTAGGCTGGAGTTCGTTCCTCATAAAGTAGCCCTTGTTATGCTTCACAGCTTAGTTCTGGTACTTTCTCACTGAACTTTGAATTTGCCTTTTGTGTAACTTGGATGATGCAGGAGAAACAGAAGGAACTACAGTACCAGATTGCTCGGCGTGCTGAATCTTCCAATATTATGGCACAGACACCTTCTGATCCTCCTGGAAATGCATTGGTTGCTTCTGTACGACGCTATCCTATTTTGTCCTTTACTCTTTGCTTACTCTAACTTCCCACATTTCCAGTGCCAAACCGGCCTTGACATTGTGCCCCAGCAAGCATATCCTCATGTACAGCGTCCAATTTCCTATCCCGTTCGAGCTAGACGGGATAGGGGTTTATTGGCAAATGAGAACCGTCAGATCCTCCCAACCAAGGCTGCTCTGACAGACACTGAGCACGACAATGTTGGAAGGACCTCTCCTCCAAGAAGGTTATTATTGTACTACTAGCTAATTGTGTGTTGCAACGGGGACATGCATATTTGAGTGGTTCACATCAATTGTGTCACACATATACCTTCCATCCACTATCTTTGCTTCCCCAATCCAATCTTACCACCTATGTCAATGGCTCATCTGGTCACAATCCCCCTTCCACTGCCTGCCACACACACTTTGGATTTTAAACACATAATTGTGCAGTTGTATATATGTGAAGATTTCAAGAAGGAAAAAGATATGCGTAAGAGGTCGTTCATATCCATCTAGCCTTTGCACGGTAGTAGGACGAAAGGAAAAATTGAAGACGTAGGAACCTAACCTTGGTCTAGCAAAAGCATAAGTGGAGAAAATATGAGCTCACAAGTGGACCTGAAGATACGGTAGAAATCATATCGAAAAGAAAGTGTGCCTCTTGAACAACTCACGATGAATAACATTTTTAAGCAAATCGGTTGTTAAATGCTCAGACAAATAATTTCCTTGAGTATATTTTATCAAGGTTTACATTTCACAACATCCTTAAACGCTAGCCTTTGCATAGAACATTCGCCTTCTCACAACATTGATGGATCGCTAGGGCTTGGCAGCACTCGTGAAAAGATTTAGTACTATCAAAAAGTATCTCTACTTTGATGCAATGAAACAGGGGGCGATGCTCCTATTTTTCTTTAAAAAATATCATGTTTACCTGAAATTACATATGTTCCTTTCAAGCATTGACAACTGAAGAAGTGAAAGCAGAGTATCTGCATTATTGCTTAAGCTCATCTATTTGCAAATATGGGAGAACTTTATATCCTTGAAACACCAGTTTGGCCATGGCTGCAATGCACCAACGTAAGGCACGCCATTCTTTTCAATTTATGGTGTTCTTTTATACAGTTTAACTTATGCAGGGAACTTTTAGCAAAATGATTTTGTTAGTGAACAATTTCGATTATACGGATAGACAAACTTGGTTGTCTTATTGGGCCTGTCTTCTCTTGTTTATGCAGCAACCAATTTACCAAGTATGGTGTAGCAAAAGAAACTGAGCGCGATTCTCGTGCTGGACGATCCCGTGCTGTACGATTTAACTTTGAATCCAAGGATCAAAACCCATCATTCAAGGACCCTGTTGGGGGTGATGTAACAAAAAAACTAGAAGGAGCTGAAACCCAAACTTCACGAGAACCTCCTGCGGAGTGGAGTCCTCAAGGCCCACCTAATTTGGCATCTGTCCTTGACGGTGGGAACCTGTCTTACCCTTACCTTCCTACTGTCCTTGAGGAGCCTAGTTCTTCTTTTTCTGAAGGTGGTAGATATTTTGATTTATGCAATTTCCTTCTTATTTCTTCAGTTCCGATGATAAACACCATTTTTCATGAATATGCAGCTGTGGAGGATGACCCACTACCAGCCATAGATGGGCTAAGAATCACAGGTGAAGCTTTTCCTGGAAGTGAACTTCAAGCAAGTGGGTATTCCAGCAATGGGACCACAAGTTGTTATTTTGAGGTGCGATTTGTAGTTATGGTTCAACATGTTCTGATTTTCTATCAAACTCCTGTCATTTTAATTTCTTCCTAGTCCACTACAATTTAAATGTTTGCAAAAAAATGTGCACACAGTGGGTACGCCATTTGGAAGATGGATCGGTAAATTACATAGAAGGTATTTTGTACATGCTGCTAGAAGACTTTTATTTTATTTTTACGTCATTTTATTTGGCGTACCTGAGGGAATTAAAATTAACATTGCCATTGCCTGATGTAGGTGCAAAGCAACCCACATATTTAGTTACTGCTGATGATGTGGATTCTTTACTAGCCATAGAGGTCCAGCCTCTAGATGACCGAAAAAGAAAGGTAATCCTCTGTCTGACCATTCTTAACTGGAACTTTGTATTTTTTGCACGTTCGAACCAATAGCTTTGTTTGGTTTTGTTTACAGAGGAGATTCTATAGATTGGGAATAATATACTGTATGCATTTGGTTAGGATTTATCTCTGTATCCATGAATAAGGCGCCTAGACATGGTTGTTTGTTTGAAAACGATAAATGTGTTGATCATGCTAACTTTCAGTAGAGCACTCATAATGTTTGTTGTGGGAATAGTAAAACTTACCCGGCAGTCTCACCCTTTTCTACATGCCAAACTATCAAACACAATTCAAGTCAACAGAAGTCCAAGCCCCTAGCCATGGTCAACCAGTCAAAAGAGGAGAATAGATATAAAGATGTCACCATGAAGGCCCAAGTGAAAGAAGCTCAAGATGGTGAGACTGTTAGGAATTATGCAACTTGTATTTCCATGGGGCCATAGGCCAGTATATATACATGTACAGGTGCAGGAAGTATGCAGAAAACCCCTTATACAATGGCATAAACACAAAGGGCTACATGGCTATATATAAAATACTCTAACACCCCTCTTCAAACTCCTGGTGGATCAACAACACTGAGTTTGGAGAGATAAAAAGCCATAATCAGGGTCAGCGCCAGTGATGATCGTGTCATCAACATATAGAAGAAGAGTCCAACCTCGAGCAGAAAGGTGGACAAACAACACAGGATCATGAGCACTCGCTAGAAAACCAGCGGCAGTCAGCACAGAGGCAAAACGCTCAAACCAGGTGCGAGGGGCTTGCTTAAGGCCATATAAAGAGCGACAAAACAATAAACCATGTCGTCCGGAACAAAATACCCAGGTGGTGGCTGCAGGTAAACCTCCTCACGCAGCTCACCATTAAGAAAGACATTCTTAACATCAAGCTGAGACACAGACCAGCGGCGAACAGAGGCCACGACAAATGTGCGAGCAGTGGCCATATGGGCCATGGGAGCAAAAGTCTCATCATAATTGCAACCATGCTCCTGCTGAAAGCCACGAGCCACAAGACGAGCTTTTTAATGCTCAAGGGAACCATCATAGCGGGTCTTAACCTTGTAGATCCACTTACAAGTGATGGGATGAACATGAGAAGAAAGAGAACAAAATCCCACGTGCCGGTGCACTCACTCAAGAGCAGAAATCTCCTCTGCCATCACAAACTGCCATTCAGGATGAACAACAACATCACGATAAGAAGTCGGCTCAAGGACAACAGCGCCAGTGCTTGGAAAACCAAGGTGGTCAATAGGCGGAAGCGAACGAGGACGCAAACCATAAGTGGGCTGAGACGAGGAAGATGGCACATCAGTAGACACATCCACAACACGTGGACGACGAGTATAATACTAAGGAAAAGATGGAAGAATACGAGGAGGAATTACCGAGATACACAAAGGTGACGGAGAAGACACCGGTGATGAAGGTGTAGAACCCTATGACAAGCGACATGAGGAAACCATGGGAGATGGCGGCGGCGGATCTGCAACCGTTGGAGAAGTAGGGGTAGTAGGACGAGCGAACAAGGGCTCAACAGGAGTGATAGGCGTGTCAGAAAAAGTGAGGAAAGATATATCCTCCACGGAAAAGGTCAAGGAAGATGGACGCGGGTAGAGGGGACAAAACTCATCAAAGTCACACCCTGAGAAAAACGCATCCGACGACTGACAGGATCCCAACAACAATAGCCCTTATGTTCATCGTTATAGCCTAAGAAGACACACTCAACAGGCTGAGCGGACAGCTTGGTGCGTTCACAAGGGGTAAGAAGGACATAGCAAACACAATCAAACAAATGAAGCGCTGAATAATCAGGAGAACGATCAAAGAGGCGCTCGAAAGGAACGCCACCCTGTAGAGCGGCGGATAGGTAAAGGTTGCTGAGATAGGTGGCATTGGAGACAGCCTCAGCCCAAAAGTGAGGCGGAAGAGAGGAGGCATCAACACACGAGCCATCTCAAGAAGGTGACGATGCTTGCGCTCGGCCACACCATTCTGAACATGAGCTCCAGGACAAGAGAACTAAGCAAGAGTCCCCTGCTCTGATACCATGTTAACCAAAAGTATGAACTGATGAAAAGGGTTAGGCAATCCACATACACTTCAACACACGCTCAAGTGTGACGCGGAAAATCAACACATGAATAGACTCAAAGGTATGGCTCAAGAGGCTTATACATGGACAAAGGGGGGCAAGAGATTTTTTTTGACAAATTGTGAAAGTCCGGACTTGAACTCAATGTTATGAAAGCAACTTATCTCTATTGAAGGCCCAAGGGGCATATATACATTACACAAGACTTGAGGTGCAAGGAAAGGTAACATAGACTAATAAGGACTCCTAAACGAATACTAATACTTCCTCCCACCTACCACCACAAGGCTAGGCTGGTCATGTCTCAAGGAACACTAGCCTATAAATAGGTCCCTATGGTCAATGTGCCCTCATTCACTCTCACTTGAATCAACTCAAGGGGAGAGGGCTAGAGCTTCAAGACTCGGTCGGGGAGCTCTAGTCTTGGATCCAAGGATTCCCGGGCGACTCAGACCGTTGTTTAGGAACCGAAGTTTGGAGGCGATATTGGGAAGTCCCATACTTAAGTCGTCAATCAAGTCTCCCTCGGGTCTTCCCCTAATATAGGACTAAGACGCGCTTTGTCGAGGCAACCAAACCTATTTGAAAAACATCAATGTGGTAACCTTATCGGTGTACACTACCTTTGCTATAAGGTCGTCGTACAACCCCGTATCCCTCCGGTCTTCTCCTAATAT